TGCTTTATCCAACCTCACACCATTCCACAGGAATCCAAGAAACCATATTACCTGAGCCCATGGGATCTTGCCATGCTCTCCGCCCAATACATCCAAAGAGGCCTTCTCTACGCCAAGCCTCCGGCAGCCCACGGCGGCGCCAGCGCCCACTTCATCCACACTCTTCTCCTAAAGCTCAAACGCTCGCTGTCCATTGCCCTTGTTCATTTCTACCCACTCGCCGGACAACTCGCAACAATTCAATACGAAGACGAAGGCACTTGCCTCGTTTATGTGGACTGCAACAACAGCCCCGGAGCCAAATTCATCCACGCCAGTCTCCACATGACCATTTCCGACATTCTCTCACCCACCGATGTTCCGTTAATTGTCCAATCTTTCTTTGACCATGACAGAGCCCTCAACCACGACGGCCATTCCAGGCCGTTGCTGTCAGTTCAGGTGACGGAATTACAGGACGGCGTCTTCATTGGGTGTTCCATAAACCACTGCATAGTCGACGGAACCTCTTTTTGGCATTTCTTCAACATGTGGTCTGAAATATTCGAAGCAGAGGATGAAAATATTTCAATCTCACGCCCACCGATACTCCAGCGGTGGTTCCCGAAAGCCCATGGTCCAATTCTCAAACTCCCATTCACCCACCCGGATCAGTTTATTACCAGATTCGAAGCGCCCCAACTGAGGGAAAGAATGTTCCATTTTTCTTCAGAATCCCTGGCCATTMTCAAAGCCAGAGCAAACGCAGAGTACAGAACCGACAAAATCTCCTCCTTCCAATCCTTATCAGCGCTGGTATGGAGAAGCATAACGCGAGCCTGGGGGCTTCCACCGGATGAGACCACCGGCTGCAAATTGGCAATAAACAACAGATCCAGACTGAAGCCACCGTTACCCGAAAATTACTTTGGGAATTCAATTCAAACGGTGAGAGGAGTGGCGAAGGTKAAGGAACTGTTGGAARARAATCTTGGATGGGCGGCGTGGAAATTGCACGAAGCTGTGGTGAATCACAGCGACGATGCSGTGAGAGMTYWCATGAACAAGTGGGTGGAATCTCCGTTCGTGTACCAAATTGGCCAATTGTTCGATCCGTYGAGCGTTATGTTTGGAAGCTCGCCGAGATTCAACAAGTACGGGAACGTGTTTGGAATGGGTAAGGCGTTGGGGCTTAGAAGTGGGTACGCCCACAAATTCGACGGGAAAGTGTCGTGTTACCCAGGATCTGAGGGAGGAGGAAGCATAGATCTGGAGCTGTGTCTTCAACCAGATTTCATGGCTGCTCTCGAGTCTGATGAGGAATTCATGAATGCTACAACTCCACACCCCCCTGCACT